TGGTCCCTGTGCTTTGCCAAGCTTGTTCTAAGTAGGTCCTTTGACCACTGAGCCATCTCTCCAGCCCGGCATTTAGTTTTCAAGGAGCACAATCAGCACTTCATTATGTTAATGGAAAGAGGGCCACAAATAATCCGTGGATGCCTGGCATTTTGTTGGTAGCTTCCTTTATAAAATGCAAATGATAGTAGTTCTCAAGAATTTTGTGTCAATTAAAGAGATGAGTAGAAGCCAGTAGTTCTTAATCATTGCATCGGAGATACCTGTAGAACTTTTTAAAAATGGTCATCTTTAGGAAAAAAAAAAATGGTACATTGAGCCCTTATCTTTAGAGATTCTGTCCATACATGTTGGAGTTGAGTCTGGCAATCTGTGTTTTAAGTTCTGCAAGGAAAAGTGTCATTCAGGGCTGAAACTACTGATATTCAGCATAAAGACAACCATGAAATTTCCAAATTTGCAACTTAGTTGGTTAACAAATAACTCCGTCATGATGTAGACTAAAAGCTCTGTTGTATAGTTTATTTCTGAATGAATTTGAAGATCGTGTAGTTTAACATTTCCATAGCTCTTTACTGGTAATTAGGGAAACAAAATACTTAGCATTTTGACTGAAAAAAATGTGCGTAACTTACATAAATATACAAGGCTTTTGTGTTTCCTTTAAGTTTCACAGCAATTCTGCGGGATAGGTATTTATTGCTATCACTGATTTTACACAGGAGGAAACAGAAACTTAAACAGAACAGCAAATATGTAGTAGGGGTAGGACTTTGGTATGTTAAAAGATATAAGTTCATATAGCAGTTTTATCTTATTCATTTATCTTATTACTCATTTTTCTCAAAGTCAAGTGTAAATTATTGAACACATGCTTGATGGTGGGTGGAACAGTCAGAAATACTATTTTTCGGCCAGCTCAGCACTGCCCTGAGGGCGGGGCTGGTGTGGCATGTGGTGCTGGGTATCAAACCACGGTCCCCTGCACCTGCCTAATCTTACCTAAGCAGGTACTTTAGACTACTGAGCTATCTCTCCGGCCCCCAGAAATACTTTAGAAGGTAGAAAAAGCTGTAATTCACTAAGTGTTTGGAACTGACATACAAAAGTTGCAAGAGAACAAGGTTTTAAAATTGGAACATCTTCTCTGCTCCTGTCTTACTCATTCCTTAGGAATTACATGAAGTTAGCGTGCTCCCTGTTTCCTATAAAAACTCAATTAAAAAAAAAACCTCAATTAAAAAAGACTTTTAATTATAAAACTTTCATAAGTATGTCGTGTTTGGGAATCAGGTCAAATGCAAAGTTTGTTGATTAACAAGTTGCATGTCATAAGTGATGTCACTTGTTTTGTAAATTGATGTCCAGAACTGTAGCAGGTATTCCTACAGGAATGATACTCTAAAATTAAATTAAGTCTCTAAGATGAATCATACACGTACATATGTTAGCAGTTTGAAATATAAAATCTAACCACTTTAAATAGCATTGTTTCCATGGAAAATAGAATTCTGTTTTACATTCAGAATATCTAGTGGAAGGTATTATATAAATTTTAAAAAACTCTCCTTCCCCACAGCTACCCGAGACAATAAGATAAAGATCAGAGATTGTGAGAAAAGTGGCGGTGTGCTGGCCAGGCTTCTTGGGAGAGGGGCAGCTGTGGAGTACTGCGGGGAAAGAGGGGCACAACAGCTTCAGGAGCTTCCAAGTCACTTATTCCCATTTAAGATTTAAAGCAACTAAGAATATAAAAGAGCATTCAGTTATTTAATCTAGTGGTCTCCAAACTACTTGACTATGTACCCATCAGTTTAAAAGAATACTGAGCATGCTCTCAGTCTTAGTTACTCTTCTCGTTGCTAAGACAAGATACCTGCCACCCAAAGTTAAAGGGGAAAGGGTTTATGTAGCTCACAGAGATTTCAGTCCATAATCAGCTGGTTCCAAGGCAGGATGGCTTGGCAGAGGTACAGCACAGAAGAAAACCGGTTCATGGCAGCGTAAGACAGCAAAAGCAAGCCAGGAGGGAGGGAGGGACTAGCCTCTTTCTGTCCCTTATATCATATGCAGGCTACCTGCCCTAGAACAGGCGTAGCATTCACACCCTTAATCCTAACCAGAACTTTGCCAAACCGATCAGTGGACTGATTTAGTAATCGCACACCCTTGATGCCACACCACGCCGTAGGTGTAGCCACCTCTACAAACCCACCCCCCAAGACTGCACAGGCTTTAGAGAGACATCTAGACACAAACCTAACACTCCCCATATGTATGCATATATTTGTTTTATACAAATTATTTACTTGTTCCATCATACCAGTATGTTTTGTAGAAGAATATATGCACACAAAAAAAAATGGAACTTTTAAGAATATGTAAGTTAAGAAATAAATGGCAATAGAAGCTGGTTTTTCCCTACTTCTAAAATCCATGCCTCATCTCATACAGCACTGTCAGCCATACCTTGAAAAAGAGAGTTGTTTTCAAGGCAGTGTTTCTTGGAATGATACAAATCTTCCAGCTTCAGCTTTACATAGGATGTTTGCTAAAATGCAAATGTTAGATCCTGTTTACCAAATGAATCACTGGAGATGGGCCCTGGTGAAAATCTCTCTTTCTAATAAAATTCTTTTGGAGAGTTTATACCTACTTAGGGTTGTTTATACCTACCTGCTGTTTATGGACTTTTCTTTTCCCTTGGTAGATCTGACTTTCTTTTGTATAATATAAAACACTGAAGCATATTTATCTAGTATCCATGAAAGAAGTTTGGTGATTACAGGCGACTGTGGACCCCCACCCTTCTGTCCCTTGGTACGGTAAAAGCAGACATGGGTATAGATGTGCACCTTGCATGTTAGGGAAGTACGTTTTGCCTTAAATCACCCTGGGGCTCTGGCCAGAAAAGGAAAAATGTGGTGTTTCACTTAGTTTTCTTTTCCTCGGTTTTTCCCTCTCTGTGTCTTTCTTTTTATCTGACGCCCTGCTTTTTCTTCACCATTCAGTATATCTTGGACAATACTCTGTAATATGAATGAGAGATGTATCTCATTCCCTTGAAGGAGTTCACATTGTCCATACTGTAAAGGGACCATATTTATGTAAAGCTAAAGGATGTTTAATTGTCCCTACTCTTTTGTGATTGGTGTTACAGTGACTGTACGATTGACCTTGATCTAGATCAAATATATAGCTGTAGCATGGATTTCCAGATATCTACAAAATATATTCTTACAAGTGTAGTTGCTGATCTGTGCATTTAAAATTTTAATAGCTATTGCTACAGTACTCTTTAAAACCTTTACTGATTTAAAATTCTGAGAGTGCCTGTTTATTCTTACATCAGTATTGTAATATGGACATTTTGATCTTTGCCAGTCGGCTACTTTTAAAGAAATGACAAACAGAAACTGAACTCATTTTAGATACTATTCAGAGCATTTTTTCATATTTGTATTCAATTTTCTGACTTTTGTGAGTTGGACAGCTGGAGAGGTTGGGATGGGCAGATGCCTTGCGAGCCAGATGCTTGTGCCAGGTCAGCGTCGCTTCCCAGGCGTACCAGGTTACGGTGAAGCCTTAAAGCCAGGCAGCCTCTGCTCACTAGCTGCTGCCTAAAGACCTAGAGTGGGAGTCAGAGAAATTACTCAGATTTTGAAGAAATGAGGTGAGATGTGATATCTCTGTCAGCCTTATTTAGGGCCAGTCCTCAGGGAGCTGCTACCCCCTCTTCACCTTTCTCCCTTACTCTGCCCTTCCTTCTGGTTCGTGCTGTCTTTGATTTACTAACATAGCCACCTGGGCAGGTTAAATTTGTTTGTCAATCCTGTACATAACAACATTGTCAATAGACTTGTTTTTAAGGCATTCTTTTTATTTCATTTTTTTTTTTTTTTTTTTTTTAAGACACTTGAGCACACTTTGTAGCCCAGACTGGTTTCAAACTCACAATGATCCTCCTGCCTCAGCCTCCCAAGTGCTGGGTTTACAAGTGTGTTCCACCACACCTAGTTTATAAATCAGATTTTAAAAATCAAATAACAAAATCCAGTCTTCTAGGCATCTGATAGCAGTGTCTTTTAGCTTATACTTCACACTAGAAACCTTTCCCCAGCTTTCTTTTTTTGGTACCAGGGATCAAACTCAGGACCTTGTACTGTCAGGCAGGCGCTTATGCCACCTAGCTATTTCCCTGGCCCCAGCTTTATTTTCCTTCCCCAGTTTTCCATTTATTGTGGCTTATTTGTGTTTTATTTTGCATATTGTTTTTGTAAGTTGTTTCAGACCTCTTTTAGACCTAACAGCAAAGTGTTGATCAATAAGTAACAAAAATTACAGTAAAGGAAAAGGAAATGAAAGTTGGAAGAAAAATTATTTTCATTTGGTTTATGACAGTTCTAGTCATTTGTATACTGTTTCTATTAGTATTTGCACAAAATGAAATCAATAATGCCATGTTAAAGTTTCAATAGATTGTCCAGGGAGATGGCTCAGTAGAATAAGCACTTCCCTGGCAAGCATAAGGGTCTGAGTTCAATCCCCGGTTCCGCCAAAATAAAAAAGTTTCAATAGATTGACTGGAACTACAGGCCTGGGATGATTCCTGGCACAAAGGTCCTTACCACTTGGTTTATGGAACAAATGGACCTTGAACACATCCCTTTTGACTAATTGCTGCCTTGAATTTCACAACTTCCAGTATTTTCCTTCTGAAACAATTTGAAGCAATTTTTGCATCTTGAACCTCACTCAGCAAACTATCCCTTTGTAGAAGACCGTATGACAAGGAAAGGGAAAGCAGGATCTCAAGGACTAACTAATCAAGAGAGGGAAATG